GGTGGCGGGCGGGCGGCCGAGGGGAAGCGCCATACAAGGCCTGGATCCGGCCCCGCCTCCGCTCCCTTCTTTGGCCGCCGGTTCCGGCGCCCCCGGCGCTGCCGAGGTGCGGGGCGGGCGCGGGGCGCGGAGGGGTATCCACAGCCCTCGCCCCTCCCGGGGCAACACCGCCCCGAGCCGCGGGGGTGAGGAGGGGGTCCCGCTGGCACCCCCGGCCCCCAGGCGTGCCCCGCGTCCTTCCCCGTCACCGCATTCCCACGGTGGGAGCGCTCCCGCAGCCGCAGCGCCGGGGATGCTGCGGGGCCCCCGCTGCGTGTCCGGCTCCCACGGCCCCGCAGGTCACAGCAGGGACCTCCCCAAAATTAAACCGCCCTTCTTCAACCCTTAATTGCGTCCGGTAAGAACAGCACCACCCAGCTCCTCCTGATTTATAGCGGCGGGGTGCGGATTTGCTCAGCACCCAGGGGCGAGGGTCCCGTGGGGAATTCCTGCTCCGGAGCAGGCAGCTCCTCACCCTGCACTGGGAAACTCCGCATCCCCACAGTGCCAGCCCCACGCTTGGCTCACACCCACCCGGGTCTGCCCCCCGAGGGTGACAGTGACACGGGAGTGTGAGCGCTTACCTGCCCCCCCCCTCCCGGCAGCTGCTTCCCGCTGGGAATGCAGCTATTTCCTGCCCCATCGGGGTGGCTGGGTGCACCCCAAACCCCCGTGGTGGGGTTTAGGCTGGGTTTAAACCTCCTGAGTCATGAGGACCTGCCGCTAAACCCGGCTGGTGAGAGTGGGACAGCTCAGGCACTGACAGCGGTTTGACTGGGAATGGCCTTAAGCAAAAATAAACCGAGGCAGACTTAGACTGGCACGGAAACGGCTGCACGGGGGTTGGACTGGCTTAGTTACAGCTTAATGGGTCGGAGCATCCCGAGCAGAATTCTTTACCCAACGGGAGGGGGGAAAAATAGAGAGTCTCACCTGGATTGGCTCCTGGCTGGTTTTAAATTACAGCCCAGGCTGGATGGAGCCTGCAGCTGAGAGGTTTCACCTTTTTTTTGGCATCCCACACACCTGCCTCATGTGAACCCATCCTGATCCGGGTGTTTCAGTAACCTGGATCATCACTGTACCGTCGGTATTCCATGCACATGAATCTTTCTCCCTGCCCCATTCAGGTGAGACCTCACCTGCAGGGCTGGGCCCAGGTCTGGGGAGCACAGGAAGGACGTGGAGCTGCTGGAACAGCTGCAGAGGAGGTCATGGAGCTGCTCCAAGGGCTGGAGCCCCTCTGCTCTGCAGCCAGGCTGGGAGAGCTGGGAATGTTCACCTGGAGAGGAGAAGGATCCAGGGAGAGCTCAGAGCCCCTGCCAGGGCCTGAAGGGGCTCCAGGAGAGCTGGAGAGGGACTGGGGACAAGGGAGGGAGGGACAGGACACAGGGAATGGCTCCCACTGCCAGAGGGATGGCTGGATGGGATATTGGGAAGGAATTCCTGGCTGGGAGGGTGGGGAGGGGCTGGGATGGAATTCCCAGAGGAGCTGTGGCTGCCCCTGGATCCCCGGAAGTGCCCAAGGCCAGGTTGGAGCAGCTTGGGACAGTGGGAGATATCCCTGCCCGTGGCTGGGGGTGGCACTGAATGAGCTTTAAGGTCCCCCCCCCACCCAAACCATTCCAGAATCCCATGAAATGCTACCATCCCTCCCCAAATCCCACACCAGCATTGCCCCACGCCCCCTCACCTCACCGCAGCCTGTGCAGGGGTTGTGACAAACGGTGACATTATTTAACCCTGTCCCACCCTGTGACACCCACCCAGGTGCTGGCAGCGTACCCTCAGCAAGGAACCGAGAGCCTCCAGCTCCCACCTCCCCCACCCCGATCCTCCCTCTGAGGATGCTGAGGGCAGCCACACCCCAAAACTCCGCTGGTCCCCGTGGGGCTGGGACCGTGTCCCCCTGGCTGCTGTCACCTGACGAGTGACTTCTCCCCGCTCTTCTCGGTCTTGTGACCGGCCGGGCCCTGCTTCGTGTGCCGGGAGCTCTGCAGGTGCTGCGGGCGCGCTGCGCATCCTCGGGGGACCCTCGGGCTTCGAAAAGAGGAACTCGTCAGGGTTTTTCACCTAATTAACGGCAGCTTAATTGTACTTTCAGGGAGGGGAGCACAAGCCCAGTTTTCGTGCCCTGTGGCGAGGCTGCCACTCGTTCCCTAAAATTCACTTGGGCTGAGCTGAGCCCTGGAGGCCGGGGGGGACACCACGAGCTGCTCATCACCGTCCTGCTCGGTGTCTCAGCAGCTCTGGAAAGCTCCACACGGAGCACGGCTCCGGGTTTCAGGCTCTGAGCTCCACAGAGGGAGAGAGGGATGATCCGCAATGATGGCGATGATCACCATCATTGTCACCTCATCCTGGATTACAAAGGACGCTCAGGCACGGAGCCTGAGGCGCACACCAGAGCACGGAGCCTTCCCTCCGCAGCCCTTGGATTCTCTGCGGATGCAGATCTGGAGCTGGTAAGGTCACAGAGCCGTAAACAGAGTGTGGCTGGTGGGGACCTGAAAGGTCACAG